CGTGACCCGAATTGGTCGTGAACAGAAGCGTTCGTGACCCGAGGTACCACTGTATATGCAATCTTATTTGCACATATTTTGAAATGCAGTGGAGCTCATACTCATTTGCTCTAAAAGTTATTATCTCATAATCAACCAATTAAAAACTTTCAGTGACATGGGTTGGAATTTGGAATCTAATGTAACACAAATAGTATTGGATGATAGCTGAATCAAAGTTTAGAAGGCACTTGTACCAGTTACTGTCAGAATTATAGCCAGAATATAAGGATATATTATTGGTACATAAATGTTAAAGTGAGGATTTCATAGAAGTAAATACACATGGTAGTAAACAAGGCAAAGGCCTAATTTTCATGGTCTAATTTCAGAAGTCCTACAAGTGAGCTCATATACTACATCTGGCTTTTGTCTCAGGGCAGATAAGATGTGATCTCAAATGGGTAACATTTAGCTTCACCCCTTGTCATTGTCTCTGATCCCTGTGAAGTTTTAAGGGGATGGATCCATTCGATTGGTCTGCCATAGGTGCCTAATGATCCCATGAGTTTTCAGAGTTTCCCAAAGATGAAGCAGGCATTTTGGGAAATTCTGGTCACCCATTGGAATAAAGGGGTCACAAAGATTCTTGACCGAATTGTGCTGGAGCAGCCTCTCCCATCCTGCAGATCTACAGCAGTTCCTTGGTTTACTGAGAAGCTGAGGGAGATGAGCCAGCAGAGGAGACACCTGAAGTGTTTCTGGAGGAAAACCCACTGGTAAGAGCTTCCATTAGACTTTACAAAGTGACAATTTGAGGAACATAAAGGAGATATTTTATTGCACTGATTGCGTCTGCCAAATGCTACTCAGTAGCACTCTTCAAAACAACTGACTCCCTCTTGGGAAAGATGATCACCAAGATCATCTGAAGGGCAGGTGTGAAGAATTTTTGTGGCACTTGTCCAATAAAAGCACACAGATTTAAGAGGATTTGGACTCCAGCTGGATAGTGATAATAGAAATGACTGGGTTTTCATCTTGGGAAGTGATCTGGAATTATTTGAACCTGCCAATCTTGAGGAAGCAAAGTGACTTCCATCACTTCTCATTTGGATTACTGCTCCTCATGGTTGATTAACTTCTCCCATGAAGTGGCAGGAGGTTGGAACTGAGTAGTAACCAATGCTTCTTTGAGTGAGGAGTGTTCCTGTCACCTTGCTTAAGAAACCTTCATGCAATCTGACTGTTTTGCATAATTTTGGTAGCCATCTGCCAGTGGTTCTGCAATCCTAGAGAGCCCTAGAAGTAGCAAATTATTCGGATCCTTGGCAGTCAATTTCATGCCAGGGTACACCATGGAAAATGCACTGGTCATGCTTGTGGATAACATACAGAGACACCAGGAGCACAACCCTTCTGATCCTCTTTGATATCTTAGCAGCTTTCAATATCATCAACCAAAGTATTCTTCTGGGCCATCTTTGAAGTACTGGAGTGGGAGACTGTTTTGCAATGGTTCCCCTACTTCTGAAGGAGGCAGTTTCAGCTGAAGGGGGAATTCTTCCTCAAAACTCTACTTTGTGCAGTGCCTCACAGCTCTGTGCTCTCCACTTCTCTTTAAGATCTACATGAAACTGCTGAGGGAGGTCATCCATTGGCATGGAATCCAGTATCTTGAGTACAGTGATCATACCCAACTATATATTTTGATGAGCAGATGGCAGCTGTGGCTAGGAGGGCTTTCACACAGTTATATCTTATGTGCCAATTGTGGCCATTCTGGGATCAGGAAGCTACACTCACAGTAACTCATGCCCTAACCACCTCCTCTTTGGATTACTGTAATGATTACCTAGGGCTGCCCTTGAAGAATTTTTGGAAGCTATAGCAGATACAGAACATGGTGACCCAGACAGTGATGGGCATATCCTGGTACACCTGAGTGACCTCACTGTTTTGGGAGCTAAAGTGGTTGCTGGTTGGCTTCTTGGTGTGATTTAAGGTTCTGATTGTCACATTTAAGGCCTCACATAGCTCTGGACTTAGTTAACTAAGGGACCACTTCCTCCTGTATTTATCTGTCCATCCAAGTAGGTTGAACAGGGTCAACTCCTTCCAGGTCCCATTATGAGAATGCCATCTGACAGAGCCTCAGATTTTATTTTATAGCTACTCCCACATTTGGAACTTCTTTACTCTATTTGGTCAGCTCCATAGCTCCTAGGCTTTAGGAAAGCTATCAAGACCTATGTGTTTTGTCTAACACAGGATGAGGTTATATTCTGTTTCTGGTTTTTATTTTGATTTTGAAATGTTTTGGGGTATATTTGGGGGGGGTCTTTCTTTTGGAAGTATGTTTTTATTAGCCTCCTAGAGTTCATGGGATTGGGCAGCATACAATGTTATAAATAAATAAATGGTGATTGCCCCAAAAATATGCCCAGTAAATGCTGTCTCAGTAGAAACAATATCCCACTACAACGTAAAGTACATTGGGTTAAATCCAAAAGTTCCATTCCACTGATGGAAATGCTCCTTCTTCTATAGAATTTTTGGATCTAATCCAATTTGTGTACACTAGTTTTACATATGCACAAAGCGATGAGTTTTTAGAAGAGAACAATCTAAAAAAAGGCTATGTCACTTCAGTAAGAAAAAGTAATTGATATTTTATGCAGGATGCAATTCATGCACAAAATTCTACTGAAAACTCAATACTAAATGAATGCATGAGTTAATTCAATTGAAATTAGAAGCACAAAGTATGTTATTTACAGTTCTTCCAAGAAGTAATTGCCACTTAATAAATGGGACTTACTGCCAGATCATTGGATATAAGAAAAATTAGCTTGGAAGGGCTGAACTTCATTAGAAGAGGGAAGGGTTATTTATCATATTTATAACCCACAAATTCTAGCAAGCCCACCATGGCAGCTAACAATAAAGACTGAAACAACACTTAAGAAATCCAAAAATAATGAAATATTTTTAAAAGCTTCAAAACAGACTATAAAAGCTATAAATTACAATACCCCAAAACACCACAGTGCATAATGTCAAATGTAAAAGTATCCAGGTCTACACATCACTCCTAGCAGCTTCATGTGGATGTTAAAAAGCATAGATACAGTGGGGCAAAAAAGTATTTAGTCAGCCACCAATTGTGCAAGTTCTCCAATTACTTCTTGGAAGATAAATTACAATACCCCAAAACACCACAGTGCATAATGTCAAATGTAAAAGTATCCAGGTCTACACATCACTCCTAGCAGCTTCATGTGGATGTGAAAAAGCATAGATACAGTGGGGCAAAAAAGTATTTAGTCAGCCACCAATTGTGCAAGTTCTCCAATTACTTCTTGGAAGATAAATTACAATACCCCAAAACACCACAGTGCATAATGTCAAATGTAAAAGTATCCAGGTCTACACATCACTCCTAGCAGCTTCATGTGGATGTGAAAAAGCATAGATACAGTGGGGCAAAAAAGTATTTAGTCAGCCACCAATTGTGCAAGTTCTCAGACCCAGCCACATTTCATCTTCAATGCCCTTGCTGATGGAAGGAGGTGTTCACTCAAAATCTCACAATATATGA